GTAAAACAACGTCGCGTGTTAAGAGAAAAATGAAACATGGCGAGAAAATTATTACATAATGTAAGAATTATTTATTTTTTAGAAACAAATACAGTATTGCAATCGTTTGTTGGAGTTATGTAAACCCACTACGATCTATAAAATACGTAGCTGTATAGAATAAATCCAAATTTTGTGTTTTGACATGCCCCCTTTTCACTGCAATAAAGTCTACCTCCAATTTTCTTTTCATTTTTTATAAGAAGAATTAAAATTGCAAGATATATGTGATAAACAAAGAATTTCAGCATGTATATTTTTTTAATTTGTAAATTTCTTTGTTAATTGAAGAGTTTTAGCATGTAATTTTGTATAAAAACACGAAAAATTGTCCATATCTTGACAGTACCCCCATTTCACTACAATAAAGGTAAGGTAACAAAATTTCATTCTAATTTTTCTAAGCATAAAACATACAAGAATATTTTCAAAAATTAAATTTTTTTATCATTCCGTTTTCGTAATTTTTAACTAGATCGGGCCTCGTTAAGAAGCCTAAAGGATCATGGCTAGACAAACCAGAAGTCTCTGTCGAGACTGTAGCTCTACTGGTTTGTACTTGTAACAAAGGATGAGAAAAGACCCCATTGCCATCAGACCAAAACTGTAAGAGGAATAGCGTTTTAAAGGAACTTCACAAAAAGTTAACAATTTTTATTAACCATGACATCACCGTTCATCGAAATCAAAAACCGATGCACTATTTTTATGTATATTACATGTAGTGTAGTCTAACTGTGTGCCAAGTTATATTGAAATAGACCAAAACTGTCGGAGGAGTAGCGTTTTGAAGTAATTTCACGGAAAATTCTATTTTTAGTTACCATTGAAATCGTACCAAGACTGTCGGAGGAATAGCGTTTTAAAGGAACTTCACAGAAAATTCTATTTTTATTAACCATGACATCACCGTTCATCGAAATCAAAATCCGATGCACTATTTTATGTATATTACAAGTAGTGTAGTCTAACTGTGCGCCAAGGTATATTGAAATCGGACCAAAACTGTCGGAGGAGTAGCGTTTTAAAGTAATTTCACAGAAAATTCTATTTTTAGTTACCATGGCAACACCGTTCATCGAAATCAAAAACCGATGCCTTATTCCGTGTGTCTTAATTTAGTCTACTTGTGTGCCAAGTTATATGAAATTCAGACCAAAACTGTAGGAGGAGTAGCGTTTTAAAGGAACTTCACAGAAAATTCTATTTTTAGTAACCATGACATCACCGTTCATGGAAATCAAAATCCGATGCACTATTTTATGTATATTATATGTAGTGTAGTCTAATTGTGTTCAAGTTATATTGAAATCAGACCAAAACTGTCGAAGAAATAGCGTTTTAAAGTAATTTCACAGAAAATTCTATTTTTAGTTACCATGGCAACATCGTTCATCAAAATCAAAAACCGATGCACTATTCTATGTATCTTAGTGTAGTCTACTTGTGTGCCACGTTATATGAAATTCAGACCAAAACTGTAGGAGGAGTAGCGTTTTAAAGAAATTTCACAGAAATTTTATTTTTAGTACATGTAACCATGGCATCACCATTCATCGAAATCAAAAACTGATGCACTATTTTATGTATATTAGTGTAGTTTACTTGTGTGGCAAGTTATATTAAATTCAGACCAAAACTTTAAGAGGAGTAGCATTTTGAAAAATTGTTTACAGACAGACGGACAACGGACACTGACCAGTAGAGCTAAAAATGCACCAGAAGAAATGTGGACATCTCGCGATCGAGATAACAAAACCATGGAACTCTACAACTTACAAGGCAAATTACTGAAGCCAATCCAAACCGAAACATGGACTTGTGCGTGTGACATAGAGGTAACAAAGAGTGGAGATCTAGTTTATATCTAGTTTATACGGAACCTGATACAAAAACTGTCAACATAGTGAAGAATAAACAGATACAGGAAATGATCAGACTACAGAGGTGGACTCTTCACTTAGTATGGAAATACGCAGTTCTCTTCATTGTGCGTTAGACACTAAGGATACGCAAAATGGGATAATAACTTCCGAGAACGCTTCTCACAGGCAGAGACGAGTACCCGACAATCCTTACACAGTTTCTTGAAGCAGAAGGTAGAGTACACTTGTACAACTCTGTCTTTGCAGAGGTCGATTTTGCTGATGTCCTGGGTACGAGCTGTGGGATCCATTTCACCAGCATCTTGAAAGTGCTGTAAGATTTCATTATCATCAAAAATTGCTATTAAGACAGAAAAAGCATATATAAGCATTAGATATGTGTTTCAAAAGGAGAATGGGATTTGATTTTTATCTGCCTTTGTATCTTTATCTTCAACTGAGTATGAAACTAAAGCTGATATTATTTAAAACTGTAGATAAAACAAATCGTATCTTTTTTTGTATTAATTAATTGATTTAACTATGTTTCATCACAATTGTAAACACTTTGATGACATTTATTACATATCTATGTTTGGTATAAGTCTTGGACGAGGTATCCCCTAACTTCAATTCTAACAAACAATCAGATGATATCGTCCGTGATAGCCAGTTTATGTTGATTATTTGTGATACCCAATTTATCTTCATAGTTTGATACCCAGCTTATCTTGATTGTCTGTGATACCCAGCTTACAAGCTTGATTGTCTGTGATTTCCAGCTTATTTTGATGGTCTGTGATACCCAGCTTTTCTTGATTGTCTTTGATCCCTAGCTTATCTTGCTTGTCTGTGATACCCAGCTTATCTTGATTGTCTGTGACACACTGCTTATCTTGATTGTCTGTGATACCCAGCTTATATTGATTGTCTGTGATACCCAGCTTATCTTGATTGTCTGTGATACCCAGTTTATCTTGATTGCTTGTGATACCCAGCTTATCTTGATTGTCTGTGATACACTGCTTATCTTGATTGTCTGTGATACCCAGCTTATCTTGATTGTCCGTGATACCCAGCTTATCATGACTGTCTGTGATACCCAGTTTATCTTGATTGTCTTTGTTCCCAATTTATCAATTTATCTTGCTTGTCTGTGATACCCAGTTTATCTTGATTGCCTGTGATACCCAGCTTATCTTGATTGTCTGTGATATCCAGTTTATCTTGATCTTCTATGACACTCAGCCTATGTTGATTGTCTGTGATGCCCAGCTTATCTTCATTGTCTTTGGTCCTTAGCTTCTCTTGATTGTCTGTGATTACCCAGCTTATCTTGATTGTCTGTAACACCCAGCTTATCTTTACTGTATGTTATTTCTTAGCTTACCTTGATTGTCTGCGATACCCAGCTTACCTTGATTGTCTGTGATACCCAGTTTATCTTGATTGCCTGTGATACCCAGTTTATCTTGATTGTCTGTGATACCCAGTTTATCTTGATTGCTTGTGATACCCAGTTTATCTTGATTGTCTGTGATACCCAGTTTATCTTGATTGTCTGTAATACCCAGCTTATCTTGATTTTCTGTGAATAACCAGCTTATGTTGATTGTCTGTGATACCCAGCTTATCTTGATTGTCTGTGAATAACCAGCTTATGTTGATTGTGATACCCAGTTTATCTTGATTGTCTGTGATACCCAGCTTATCTTGATTGTCTGTAATACCCAGCTTATCTTGATTTTCTGTGAATAACCAGCTTATGTTGATTGTCTGTGATACCCAGCTTATCTTGACTGTATGTGATTTCTAAGCTTAGCTTTATTGTCTGTGATTTCTAAGCTTCGCTTAATTGTCTGTCATTTCTAAGCTTAACTTGATTGTCTGTAATACCCAGCTTAGCTTAATTGTCTGTGATTTCTAAGCTTACCTTGATTGTCTGTGATTTCTAAGCTTAGCTTGATTGCCTGGGATACCCAAGCTTATCTTACCTATCTGTGATTACCCAGCTAATGCATGTTGATTGTCTGTAATTTCTAAGCTAAGCTTGATTGTCTGTGATTTTTAAGCTTATTTTGATTGTTTGTGATTCAAAGCTTATCTTAATGGTCTGTGATACCCAGCTTATGTTGATTGTCTGTAATACCCAGCTTACCTTGATTGTCTGTGATACCCAGCTTATCTTGATTGTCTGTAATACCCAGGTTATCTTGATTGTCTGTAATTACCCAGCTTATCTTGACTGTCTGTGATTTCTAAGCTTAGCTTTATTGTCTGTGATTTCTAAGCTTAGCTTTATTGTCTGTGATTTCTAAGCTTAGCTTAATAGTTTGTGTTCTCCAAACTTAGCTTGATTGTCTGTGATTTCTAAGCTTAGCTTGATTGTTTGTGATTACCCAGCTTAGCTTGATCACATTGGTTGTCTGTGATTTTTATATTGTGTTTTAAATTAGCTGTTCATGAAATTTTATAGACATATAAACAAGATGTATGTTAGTCAGTGTTTGATACCAGGAAGTTTTTTCTAGGAAAGTGCATTGAGGATGAAATGTGAGGATGGTAAAAAGCTTTCATTCAAATCCATTTAAATGATATATAATTACTTTGTTTGAGCAGAACCAGCATAGATCTTTGAAAACAGAGAATACGACCAGGTCTAAAGAATGTGTCATTTAGTAAACAGTCGAGAATTTAAAGAAAAAAATATTCAAAAGGTTCATAAATCCTGTAAAAAATAATTGGCTTTAATATATTGCAAATTTATATCTTCAATTTTCAAATTACATTGATGAAATGATTACGACACAAGTTTTCTCAAAAAATGGTGACATTGATATCAGTAACATATATACTTATTTTGACTTGCATGTACCACATATAAATTGAGTTATCTCTATATGTTGACACAGACTTGGTACTTTGAAACTTGCCCATTTGAGGGTGCAATGATTAGATATAATACATATCATCTGTCTTCTTTAACTTTACCAGCTTGAACAGATAAATACAGTACATGTATTTATTTCTTTATTGATAGTCATGTCAATTTTTAAATACAGTACATGTATTTATTTCTTTATTGATAGTCATGTCAATTTTGAGCACGTACCTTTAATATCGCAATGCATGGAAATAAGATTTAGCAAGCATCAATTGATTACAAATATTTGATTTTATTCACTTTACCACTCTTACATTCAGCCACAAAGAGGTTGTCTCTGGTGTCTACACACAAATTGCATGGACGGTATAAATAACAGTTATCAATGTTACGGAGGAATCGTCCGTCCTGATCTAGGATATGGACACAGCTGCTGGTAAAGTCCGCTGTCAGGATCTGACTCTGGCTGTCAGTTGTGATGCCAGCTGGATTGAATGGTCCTTTGGTAGTAGAGGGATTGCCAGTGTATCTAAATCGGAGCTGTTTTGCCTGATTAACCACCACGACTGCATGGGCTCCATAGTCAGCCACACAGATATCAAGGTTCTTGTTTTCATTGATGAATTTAAGATCACCGGACGAATACAGAGGTTGGCCTTTACTGTCAAACTGAATGGTTTGTTTCTCTGTGGAGCCAGAGTAACGTACAACTTTTGCTTGTTCATTATCATCACTGTCCATGGTAACCAGGAGGTCACCCGAGGGGGTACTACAGACATTGTTAGGTATCCAACCCGGAAGTCTGATCATCTCCTGTATCTGTTTATTCTTCACTATGTTTACAGTACTTGTATCAATATAAATTAAATCTCCACTCCTTGTCACTGCTATGTCACTTGGGCTTTTTCCAGACTTGGTTTCGATTGACTTCATAAGTTTTCCCTGGAGGTTGTAGAGTTTCATAATCTTATCTTCTCCACATGTCCAGAATTCTTCGTCACTGAGACAGGTAACACTGGTTAGATATTTATACCCAGTGTCTATGGTGGTGATGAGCTCTTGTTTATCAAGCAGTGGTTTTACTTGAGGACGGGGTATAAAAAAAGCTTTTGATGCCACCATTGTGTAACCAAGATCTTCTGATGCAATGGATAATGGTGATATATGACCAAATAACTGTAAACATTTCCCTAGGTTATGATTGCCAGTAAACACAGGAAACTCGATTTTTAGTTTTGATGGAGGTTTGGTGAATTTTTCTGAGTTTATCTCATGATAAAGTGGTTTGCTTACGTCATTGGATTGAAGAATTTCCTCAATTTCTGATATTGACTGTTTAACGTCAGCGACGAGTTTCATAATATCTGTGAGGTGTTTCTTTAGGGCATATATGTGTTGGTTTCTCATCTTATTGATTTCTTTCTTTTTTCCCTCTACAACTTTTTCAATTTCTTTGTGCCATTCTTTTCCATGTTTCGTGACTTCTGAAGTAAGTTTCTCATATTTTCTGTCTATATCATTTAGCTGGGTTTGTATATCAGCTACATTTTTCACGATTTTTGAGTAAACTATTTCTTGCAATCTTTTTCTCTCGTTTTCAATAATTTCTTTCTTTGAGGTCAGTAAATCTTTCAGACTTCTGAAATGATGTCTCGTATGTGTTTCAGAAATAACACATTTTGGACACACTGGAGTCTTGCAATCTTCACAGTGCATTTCACAGTTCTCTTCAGAGTGGATTAGACACTGAGGATACACAAGTTTGGATCTTCTCAAAGCAAAAGGAACCACACTATGATTTTTAGAGGCATCAGAGATGTGTTCCCCAACACAACCCTTACACAGGTTCATGGCACAAACGTTACAGTACATTTGTACAACTGTGTCTTCACAGAGGTTACATCTGATAATGTCCTGGGCACAAAATCTGGGATCCATCTTATCAGTCTTTTAAATGCTATAAAATTATTATAATTAATGAATATTTGAATTCAATTAAAGATAAAAATATAGCTTGTACCGTACTGTATGTTAAAAAAAATTGTTAAAAGGAGAATTAAATATTTTTACCTGCAAAATCTCTAACACCTGTAATTGAGCATGAAACAGTGGTAATGCTTTATCAGTGGAGATAAAACAAATCATAAGACTTCTTGTATCAATGTGCAAACTTCTTGTACCACACTCGGAAAACTTTGTTTAAACTTTGATATTAAAACGACACACTTCTACATTCTATCTATCTGCTTTTAGGTTGTTCTATTTCTTAACCAAATTTTGAGGATATAGATACATCATGTTATCTCAATTTTTGACCTGATATGTACTGATTACCAGGTAGTGTTTTACTTTACTTGTTTTGTAGGTTTTAAAAAACGAGGATATGAATGGACAATTAACGAAATGCGTACCTAATGTACAAAATAAACATTGATAAACAACTTGCTAGGTGATGTACATGTACTTAGAGTCAAAATTTTAACTATTTTACCCCTTTTATTGTAATTTTAGAAAGTCCTTGAAAAAATATTTTAAAAAGAGTACAATTTTAATTTTTTAGACTTTTACCTCTGTGGAAAAGATTAAGACATATATATTTTTGTCTATATAGACCATGTAGACTCGATTTTAGTATAAATTCAAACACGTTTAAAGTTGAATTTTAAGTGGTTGTTATATGGATATCAATGAAATCTACTGAATAATGTGATGTTTTACCAAATACAAATTGCTGTATTTATTTACATAACGTGTGTCTTTTTCAAAAAAAGAGTCGAAAAAACAGAGCCCTTCCTCGTGATTTATCACTTCTAAAAAAACAAAAAAATATAATATTATAAAGCAAATAAAGATTTCAGGAGTCACTACTCCTATATGTGGAATTAATGACTAGTGGTTGTTATTGCACATCAATAGTTTTCATATTTAGTTTAATTTCATTTATCACATGTTGATAGTACGTGTTTCATGAAAAGGAAACTTTCAAATAGATATTGTCATTCCCTGTTTAAGAGAGATGCTGTATAATGTTAAAACTTACCAGTGGCGGAGAGTTAAAAAAAAATTACAATTATGGCCTCATTCTCATAAAAAAGACGAAAAAAACATTTGGATGGGTAAACAGAGTTCTGAGTTCATCCTGCAGATCCATAATTTCAAAACAGAGGATTATATCTGCTACAGCTAGCTATTTCAGGTGAGTTTTGTGGCAAAGTGGCCTCATACTTTGTGAAAAAGGGGAATTTCTAATAAGCAGCTTTGGAATGATGTGTCTGGTATTGCTAGCATTAACAAGAAATCTATATATACAGAACAAAAAGAAGGAACGGTTTGGTC